TCAAGCCCCGAACCACTAGACATCTTCTCCTTCCTTACGAGAATTCGGGACAACGCGAGCGCGTTGTACGACATCACCAACCACCACCCAACCCTCACCCCGATCTCCGAGCAAGCACACATCCAGGTTCTCATTGAACAGGTTCAGCAGGTCGTCAACACCCTTCACAATCTCCAACGGCTCGTCAGCCCGCCCCTTCCCCCCATCCCCGTTAGCCACGACCCAGAAGAACGCCACGGATCCAGTTACTTTGCTGCTCGAATTCGCGAACAGGCCGAGAATCTTCGTAACGTTCAGAGTCTTTTGGACCCGGACTTCGCCGAACACTGCCGACGCCTACATCTACTCATTGGGGCCAGGGAACTATACGAATCTCACCGTCGCATCATTCGAAACGGATACGAGTCCCCTGACGCTAGTGCCGATTCCGACTATTCGGCGACTCTACGCAACTTCCACCTGGACTAGGTATCCCTCCGCATGAATACGCAGCGGACCGATTGCGCCCAACGTATTCACCGATACGACCCCGAGAATCGACGCGACGTTAGCTTCAATAGAGAAGGACAGAACAGGCGCACTTGCAATAACCACCTGTGCCCCAACCGATACAACGGACAGAGCAGCCCCAACGTCATCACCGGAAACGCGCCACATAAAAGGCAGGAAGCCTTCATCCGAACGACTTGGGCCCTCAATCGAACAACAGCCCCCTCCCCTCCGCGTAGCCCTGCTACCCATCGCACTAGTTCCCTACCAGACGTAGCGAACGAGCCCACCGAGGCTACACCCTTGCCGGAAGACAACCCCGCTCCTCGAGACAACGAAGAAGCCGTCACCCCTCTCCGCGGTCTTCTCCAAGCACACCCGGACGAACCAGATAGCGACGCGGACACAACAACAGAACTCATAGACGCCACTATGTCCGCAGTACCACCCCGTTCTAGCCTCCCCAGTTTCCAACTCGGAAACTTGTTCACTCCCCAAGACAGCATCTCCTCACTACGCCAGGCGACAGGGGCCCAACCCGGTCAAACCACTCACTACGCCAGCAGTGGAGTCCCGACAGCACAACCTGTGATACCACCTACTACAGCTGCACCGCCTGGTCGGCCACCTACACCCCCTCCGGGTGGCGGACCTCCGCAAGGTGGCGGACCACCTCAAGGCGGTGGACCACCTCAAGGACCTGGCGGACCTCCTCAGGGACCTGGCGGACCTCCGCAAGGTGGCGGACCACCTCAAGGACCTGGCGGACCTCCGCAAGGTGGCAGACCACCTCAAGGACCTGGCGGACCTCCGCAAGGTGGCGGACCACCTCAAGGCGGTGGACCTCCCTACGGCGGCGGACCCCCTCCGGGTGGCGGACCTCCTCAAGGCCCCGGCGGACCACCACCTGTGGCTCCTCTTGGCGCACCAGGCGTCGTCGCCGGACGAACCAAAGTCCGCGCACCCAATGTTTTTGACGGAGACCGCGACAATCTACGCACCTTCCTCAATGAACTCTTCCTGTTCTTCGAAGCACGTCCAGCCGACTACGCCACCGACCAGAGCCGCATCGTCACCGCTCTGACGTTCATGGACGGACCGAAGGTGATCGCCTGGAAAGACGGATACATTGCTCAAGCCCGACGAAACGGCTGGAACACCTGGAATGCGTTCGAGACGGTCTTACAACAGACCTTCCAGCCCATCGAGGAAGCCGCTACGGCCGCCTCCAAGCTGTACCACCTCGACTATCGACCTGCCGCACCAGACACCTTCAACGCGGAATTCTTCCGCCTCTGCGCCCTCGCCGGTATACTCGAAGACAGTGCTCAGCTGTCCTTTTATAAGGAGCGTCTCCCAGAAAGCATGCGACGACGGGTTCGCCTCACGTACCCCATCCCCACCACCGTTAATGAGTGGGCAGCACGGGTGTTGGAAATCGAACACTCCAACTACGAGGAACGACACCTGCGCCAACTCGAGGGACGCTCCCGCAACGACCGACAGGGCCAAGGCACAAAGGGACAGTCCGCTCGTACCAACTCCATACGACGAGTTGACGCTCCAGCCATGAAGGAGGACAGAGAGAAGAAGCAATGCTTCTACTGCCACAAGACTGGTCACATCGCACGCGACTGCCTTAAGAAGAAGGCGGACAATCGTGCCAAGGGACGACAGCCTGGACAGAAGAGGCGGAAGGTGCG